TGGCCAAGCTCGTTCAGAATGTCTACAATTTTTCCGCTAATCAGAACAGCAATAATTTTTTCTTTTTCTTTTTTTTTTTTAAACTGGGCCCACCTCTGTTTCTGTAACAACTACAGCTATAAAACAACACAAGCACTTCCAGAGACATACATGAATTGCTTTTACTGTCAGGACTTCACTTGACAATAGCCAAACGTTCCTCAGCTCCGAGCCAACCACAATTAATAAGCTAAAATTCAAAGCATACACCGGGACTCAAGGTTTCACAAGACATTTTTCCACTTCTAAAAACAAAGGTACCAAATGGAAATGTATCTAATAATTTCTGCCATTTTTCCCAGAAGGAGGACAGCATTATATCAACGGAATTACTGCATGTGCAGAGATGTAGGAGCATTCAAGTTTAAGGTTGCACAGTGCTAATTCATACTAAAAGTTTCATTCGATAAGCTCTACAAAAGTATTTCCGCCTCAATTCTGAAATACAGGAGGCAGCAAGAGAGTTAATACTATTAGCGTTACAGATACCTGCCACCCTCCTGTATTTGAAACAAGGGGCATTAATGCTAATCTTTCTTACAATAAGAGCAGCAAACAAGTTTCAAGTGTTTCTCAGAACACTGCTCTGAATTTATCACTCGTTGCCTGCAGCACTCAAGTGCAAGTTTGCACAGCAGGGCAAGAGTGGTGTACAATTTTGTGATAAAGAAAACTCCCTTCTACAAATTTGCACACATCAGGAAAATGATTCAGAAAACAGCTGTTCCACAAAGCCCTACGGAAAACACTCTTCCAGAGTCATTACTCTGCTTTGGAAGGAGTCTCTTCTGGAAGAAGAAACAGCTAATGGAGACCCTGACACTTGTGGCTGCTGATTAAAGAGAAACACAGATAAAGCTATCACGATCCCTTGCCGCTAGCCCCAACGCTTCTACAAAGAGCCTGCTCTCCTGCAAATAAGCGGTCCAATTCATTTGCTCACTGACTCCTCAGTCATTAAATTTTTAGGCTAGGCCATTACAATCAACGATCAAAAATTGTCAGCCCTCTAATTTAAGCCTCTCACTGCATCCTTACTCCGGTACAATCTTCATACAGGCAAGCTTTAGTGTGTTCTTTGGGAAAGTTTCCTAATTTCACTCTAGTTGCCGCTGCACAAGGCAAATACCTTAGAAAAGCTTTTCCAATTGGGTCTTCACAGATTGATCTTTCCAAAACGAGAGCACGATTTTGCTAATTGATCTGGTAGGAACCTCCAGCTTGACCCCTGAGCTAGCGTGTATCAGGTGTGCACAAAGAGCCATGCCGGGCAAACAGAACCAAATCCCATTTATTTACACAACTGGATATCACTACCTAAACGACACATACAGGATGCTGTCCAGAAAAAGGGCAAACTAAAGTTTTCTGAGACAAAGTTCTCCTTCCTCATTACACTCAGCAAAAGGAGGAGATGTTTAAGAATAAATACATCACAAATGTTATCTTTCAAAGACCCAGAAGAGAAAAGCTACAACTAATTTCAATAACTACTTCGCATCACCCTTCAGGTCTCCCCAGAAGCAATGCTAATTAATGGGACCCTCAAAAAAAAAAAAGGGGGGGCAAGGAGGTGGCTATAGTCTCCCCATTTGTAACAAAAACATCTAAGTAGGTCCTTCTGCCACCTGCCACATGAAAACGTGTTAGGTCACACTACGATAGCAGTACCTGCTTGGAGAAGTCATTTTGGAAAAACTCTTAAGGACTTCTGCCTCATGACTACTACGAGGGGTTGTACAAGACAAACATTAAGAAACTCACTTAATTCTGCCTAATCCAAGTGACCAAAAATCAAATCCAAAGAGTTTTATTTCTCTAGAACGTGTCACTTGATAGGAACAACTTTGCATAAAGAAGAATTTCATGTTTTCCCAAGAGATGATCTACTGAATAAGATTGTATGGGCAACTATGCTGAAGGCCAGAGGCAGTGAAGAACCAAACTCATGGATCTCAAAAGGATTTTAAAAAAAAAAGTTAAACCAGGACTGAAGTCTTGATGTCTGTGTCAAGTTTATTCCACCCTGACTTCCTACAGCTTTAAAAAAACATACCAGAACCTTGTAACTTTGGCTTTAAAGACCTGAGTCACCATGAATGAGTCCCTCTCTGACAAGTAACGATGCTTTCTTTTGCAATACCTTATTTACAAGTTAACACATAATTTGGAGATAAACTAATGTAGTGCAAAGATTAGGTGGTGTTAAATCCATACACAAAGTTACCTTATAATATAAGGTAAAAGCAAATATAGTATGCTTGTCTTGTCTAAGCTAAAAAGCCATCTCTGCTACAGCCTGCAAGCAGTAAGGGTGAGGCTCGAAGACTTCCCACATGCAGCTTGTATATTTATAACATTGCATGCACTGTGCTGCGAAACGTTTTCAGGTGGCTGTTTTCAGATCAAGTGGGTCTCTTTTCTGTTTGTACTTCAGTATTTCTGTAACGCTCGCATCTAACACTTTCCTGGAATACCACCAGTATCTTTAAATATCTGCATGTAATTAAATTAAGAACTCTCCCTGTAACTACTTGTCAATAACTGGCTTATTTTGAAAGGAAATTTATGCTTCACTGCTCAGAATTTTTAATTAGTTTTTAAATCAGGTAGTGTAGCATACACCAATGCAAAGAAATAATTTAATTTTGACTCCTAACTTTAAGGACACAGAACTAGGGAAGACCCTTGGCAAAGCCACAAGAAATCTTCACTTTGGATTAACCTCTCTGGCCACAGGGTGCCTCTGCTGCTCAACAAATACTCCGAAGCTGAGCAAATAGTTTCTGCTGGTTAATCACCAGCTGTAATCCATAAACTGTACTTGTGCGAGCTGAAATCAACCTGCTCAGGATAAAGGTAGGTCAATATTTGATCATCCTGAAGTGCTCTCATTAGCTGGGATTGTCAGTCCTGCAGAAGCAATGTTCACCTCGCTCTGACAAATCATTCATTTACGCTATGCTACAAAAAACTGAGCCAGGCTCTCAGGCTTTGCATGCACCCCCGACACAGGACAATGAGTTTTGATCGAATTTCTGCAACACAAACCAAGCCTGACACGACGCACTGCTCACCAGCAACACCATTCACAAAGCATTCCTGACCTTCCACTGTGTGCCCACCGAGGCTCCTCAGACTAGTTGTATCTTTTGGGTTCAGCCTCACACGTAGTCATCGAAGGTATACACATAAAAGTTTACTAAGAGCTTGGCTGATTAGAAAACAGTCACAAAAAGCAATTAATCATCTGACAGAAGTTGGAGAATACACAGGCAATGAGATCAAGTGATAAGGGAGCACAACAGCACTAAAATGTTGAGTGCTAGAGGGCTGCAGCATTTTGGCTGGTTGCACTGAAAGTGCTCAGTCCAACCTCAATGGAAACAACACCGCAATTGGAATATTCCCCCAGCATAGCACCGTCAGTATCTACATTCGTACCATATAAGCTCTACTTTAACTAGTTAACAAAGCGTCAGCAAAGGTGGCACTTCATAAAGCCTAGCAGTGACATAAAACTTTCCATGTCACCGGAAAAAAAAAAATGCAATGTTTCAAAGAAACAATTTCATCAGATTTCATTTCCTGCACTGAGTGGATTCTTCCACAGACATCTGGTTTGCCATCCACTGAAGTATACAATGCCTAAACAGTCTCATGTCCTCTCTGAAAACAAAGCAAAGCCCAGCCTCTGACATGCTGTTCCTCTCTAAGTGATTAAACACTAGTATGAGTTTTTTTTAATTTATTTCTAACTTACCAGGACTACAAAAGTCACACAAAGAACATGATAAAGAGGCAGTACAATGCAATCAAAGCAAGCAGACACTCGAGCTCTGAAAAAGACACTTCACTAACTCTTTATTTCAAGAGTTCAAATCATCTTTGCACACACAAGACTTCCATCAAGTTCAACAGGAGTCGTGTAGCCACAGTGGGTGCAGCAATGATACCCTACTGGCATGAACATTTCTGGACATAAAGCTTTGCAGTCTCATATAAATATTTACATCCGCCAGGTTGTACTGAATGCTCACTGACACCGAATGCAAAAAGTTTCTAATGCTGGGTATGCGTATCCTGCATTCCACTTCATAGTGCAGCACCAAGCCCTTACCTTGTTTATAAAGAAGGCTTTCAGCGAGGAAGCATGTATTTTCTATGAAAGCACGCTGATGCGTATGTAAAGAGGTTTATGTTAAAAAGGCTTCCCTCACATTCAGATCTAGGTCTAAAATGCATTTAGAAGTGAATGAGCTGCACTACATAGAAAGGAGACAAGCTGTTGGGGGCAATCCTCTTTACATTTACACATTGACAAACGCACACAGAAGCATAGGTGCACGTAAACGAAGACAATCTGCTTCAGAAATCCTACACCCAGCCTGGAGTCAGGTTGCAGAGGTTAGGTGTGCGTGTGGTGGAAGACCCAATTCTGCCGGGCTCTGCGAGGACCTGCATGGTTTCTCATCGGATCGGCACTGAAAACAGAACAAACCCCAAAAAGGGGCCTGTGCAGATGATGACTGCACTCCCGTTTTCCAGCGGTTTCTCTGAGGTTCCCACTTGCCTGTCAGGTCTAAGTGGGAGGCTCCAGAGAATGGAAGATAGGCATTTAGGTTTAGACCAGATATCAGATGCAATTAGACACTACTGTCAGCCCAGTTCTGGGACAAGGAGACGTAATTTGTAACACGCGCTCCCCTTCACGTGACACACCGCGATTACAAGACTCAAGACACATACATTACTATTACCTCAACGCGTGCCAGTGTCCTGCCGCCAAGTTATTCAGCTGCTGAGGATGGAGTTGTAGGATAAAGCAATATATCATGACTAGCTACAAATGAGCAAAGAACCTCCCACCCTTTCTCACGAAACCCAAAATAAAACCCATCATCTTTAATTCCAGACAACTCACAAATCTCAGTTTTCCTCTACAGGCAAAAATGATCACTGCATGATTGGGTTTTATTTTTTTTTCTTTCCCCCCACCTTTTCATCTTACATTTGCTAACTCAAAATCCAAAGTCAGAAAAAATATATATATTTAGTTGGAAGTACGTCAGTTACATTTTATTAACCTACTCCAAGGGAAAAGCTTCAGGGATTCACCATACAAGTATAAAACCCCTCTCAAACACCTAGGGGTTGCTATATTACTTCATCCCAGCAGTCAATCAATGCAGTAAAAAAATTAAAATACTGAAAATGGATGCTTTTCCCCTCTTCCACAGTCCAGTGATTGCTCCGTCACAGCGTGATGAGGTCTACCAGGTTGCCTTTAGGAGGGGTCATGTTGTCTGGAAAGAAGTTGACTAGTGTATCAAACAGCTGAGTTCTCTGCGCGTACGTGTGGTCAACATCTGAAAATCCTGGGGGAGGAAGAAAAGGGGAAAGCAAGTCAGTGCTCACTACTTTAAACGCTCCGTTTAGCTGTGCAGTATGCCAGTTGTCCATTTTGGACGGATGTTAACTATTTGCTACTTCTGCCTCAACTAACAAGGCTGCCAGCTCTCTGTCTCACTACTATGTGCATATACACACAGAGATCACGTCACCCCAAGCCAACACTGCAGTCAAAATGCCATAAAAAGTAATAAGCAAACACTGTCAAGCTCATTGACAGTCCTGAAGAAATGGGGGAAGGAAGAATCTGCAGGGGATTGCTCTGATGTCCCAGAAAACAAAATCTGTGCAGCTATTTTTATTTGGTGCCTCATTTCTTCTGTCCTCAGGCTTTCCTCATTACCTCCACTACTGTCTTAACCAGAACTGGAACTTGTATTGCTTGCAGTTTTTCTTGAGACAAGCTCTGCTGATGGTAGGAGTCCAACGTCAGAGTTGCTATTTAATCACTGGACTTCTACCGAGGACCCAGGCTGCATCTTGGCACAAGGGTGCTTTGCAAACTAGTTTTGCCTCCCAACAGGGGAGGGCTTAGTCTGCAGCAGAAGCGTTGTTTACCCAAATCCCCATACTTAAACCATCAGCAGCAAGAACAATAGAGTGGGCATACAACGATTTCCTCTGCTTTGTATTACTTCAATCACTGGTATCTCAAAGGAATGCTTTTTAATTCAGTGAACTCACTCTTCAGTTAATCAAAATCAACCAAGTTAATCAAATCAAGGAGGGACTGGGTTTTTTGTTTTCTTTTAGAAGCACCACTTGATGTGTGTATCCTCCTATCCGTAAAGCCAACCTCTGAATAAAGTATTGTATTGTGTCAAGAACTAATTCATCTTTTAGAACACTTAAAACTAGGGAAAAAACAACTTTCTGAAACTTGGGTTTTCTTCCTCTAAAAAAATCCATCTTACAACATCAACTAGGTAACTACTTCCAAACCACACAAGCTCAGCAGAGCTTCCTCATCCAGCAAGGCAGACAGTGCAGGGGGCTTTTTCCTTCCCTCAATTCCTTAGACTGGGAATTACACATTTGTCAAAAACTGAAGTCATCGATACTCCTAGCGAGAGCTTGGTAACTTGAGGACAACCCATCGTTCCAACAATGTACGTTATACCTATAGCCTTCCTATACCTTGCCCAGGATTAATCTCTCAACTGTTTAAAAGAGTTAACTGGACAGAATAGTGAAACAAATTACGGCTTTGGCTCAGACCTCCTGTTTCCAGCCCTACATGCCACTGTTTTCTTTGCTCTTGACGTTCTGCCCAAAGAACTAGTTTTGCAAAGAACAGAGCGAACCAAACTACTCCAGGAATTGCAGTTATCACAGCAAACAGAGCCGTAGCCATGCTGTGAGATTCCAAAGTGACATGACAGGAGGTGCTTTATTCTGACCAAAGCTTCTGTTTATTTGGGTAACAGCGAAGCATCAGGTGTAATAAGAGACAGAAAATGATCCCGGGAGGCATGGGTTTATAACCACTGGTGACAGATGTTTTAAATATGGGCTCGAGGCATTGGACAGTGGTCATTATAAATAATCTCTCAAATGCCTAAGCAGTGGCACTTTGTGTATTCAAACCGAAAAGGACCTACAATATTCATATGAACTATAACATTTGATATTAAAAAAACAGTAGAAACTAATAGTAATGATCTTTATCAGAGGGAACATACTTAATATAATTCTTCTGATACACAATACTCACCAAGAGTGGTGAAATCCGAACCAGACTTAAATAATGCTGAGGCAAGAAGCTGAAACTGCAGAAGAGGAGGTGGAGGGACAAAAAAAAAAAAGAAAAAGAAAAAGTGTTATTAACTGCACAAGAAAAAACCCAAAAGATTCATAGAAGTCCAAGTGGCTTTAGAGTTGCTGGGTTTTCTTTGCACAATCCTTAGAACTACTGTGCCATACATATGAATAACAGCAGCAGACACCTTCCTACGAGCAATACAATTTGTTACCTTGGCAGAGCAAGTTGGATAGTTTTTCCTAGAATTAGAGGAGCTTTGATACAATGAAAGGTATTTGACTGGGAGCCCGAAAACCTAATTTTTTATATATACTTTTTTGCCACTCTGGCAGATACCACAGTGCAGAAGTAAGGTAGAGCCTCTTCCACACAACAACATTCCCAGGGATGACTGTAGTACAGTCACAGCAAGCAAGGATTCGATGGCACGAAAACAGGGTAACTGCTACAGTGCAGCATGAACTTCTTGAACACAGAGAAAGCTTTAAACGGCAGCAACCTTTCTGAACTGCCAGAGAAGCTCATATCACAAGTTTAAGGCAATGTCTTTTTAACTAAAAGAAAAAAAAAGTTCTTGGAAACATCAAAATCATGAGTAAAAACGTTTTAAGTAACACATTCACAGTTTTATTCTCCCTTAATGTCTCAATGATAGACAGTGAACAGTGTCTTCCTCTGCTCCGGGCTGCTGTTTTCAGTTACCCATGTTGTAGCAAAGCTTAGTGGTTTGTCATGTTTCCTTAAAGAATTAGCCGATCCCTCAAAGGCTTGTAATCTTTTGTCTCCTGTCTGCTGTCTTCACAGCACACAGCCCAAAGGAAAGAAGGGGTGGGGAAAAACAGAAGAGAAGCAAATATGTTCAGGGAAGGAGTGGGAAGAACAGCCAGGAGTTACATATCCATCAGTTTAATTTCAATTTCAAGAAAAAATGGGAACACAGACAATTTGCAGGCATCTAGGAGTGAAGAAGGTGACGAGTAGCCGATGTAGATTTGGCAACAAGTTGTATCACATCAATTTGATTTCTTTTACAACAGGGCAGCAGGCCCTACAGATGGGACTTGGCAATAGACATTGTCCATTTTGACTTTCATAGGACTTCTGATGCTTTTATATGATATTTATGGCAAATTATTGAGGCATTACCTAGATTAAGCTAACAGGGAGTGGCAAACAGGTCAAATAACTTTACTGTGGGTAGCCATCAATGGTTTGACATCAAAATGGAGCCATGAATCAGAAGTGATTCATCTGTGCCCCAGGGTCAGCATCATTCTGGGTTTTCAGTGACAACCTGCTTGACAGAACAGGACGCGTTCACTGAGTCCACAGACCTTACACCATGCTCAGACAGACTGCCAGCATGGTAGCAGACAGACTTCAGACTTTTTATATTTCATCCAGCTTATAATGATGGATCAAGGTGCAATTCACTAGGGCCAAGTGCAAATCAACATAAACAGGAAAAAACAGCTATACAAAACAGGTCAGGGTACACAGGCTCTGTGAAAATGCATCGTTACTGATCTATTATAACTCCTATAATAGGAGTTATAATAGATCAGTATCATCCTATTGCAAAAATGACAAATGCGTAGAAAACGCATGAAAAGGAATAGGATCTTCAAATAAATCAAGTACTCCTGCTGTAATCAAGGCTCGTAAGTCTCATCTACAATAAGGCAACCACTTTTGGATGCCCTGTATCAATTAGCAACACAGGAGGAAAGCACTAGAAAAAAATCAAGTGGTCTGAAAAATCAAGCTCTATAAAGAAAGTTCAAAGGAGTCAGGGTTGCAGAGCCTCCACAGAAGAATACCCAAAGATGAAACTGCAAAAAGTCACAAATGTAAAGGCTGCTACAAAAAGGTAAGTCTACAACTAAGTGCAAGAAGCCACAAAAATACTCCAGCAAGATCAATTTCAACATGACATCAAGAAGAAAAAAAAAAAAGGACCATATTGTGCGGGAATAAAGTTGCAGTCTTTTGGGGAGGTTATAATGGGAGGCTAGCACTGGAGGTATTTAAGAACAGGTTAGAAAGATACAGGATTGACATACTGCATAACAGGGGGGAGAGGCTGATTAAGCACCCTCTTGAGTGAGGGGTCTGGTTATATGAAATCAAAAGGGATTGCAACGCTACACATGTATTTCACTGCTAGCGTAACTTGTAAGAGTTGCTTGGCTCCGCATCAGCAACATACTTAAACAGATATAAATATCTGTTTTGGAGCATAAATAGCTCCAAAAGTTCCAATAAAACGGGTGGCGAAATCTGTGCTGCTTCTGATTGCGAGTGCCATGTCCTGGCCATCTTCCCCTCGCACACAATTGCCTTACAGGCCTGCTGCCAACTGCCTGGTAGCACATGAAGCCAGCTATGCCAGGACAAAGCAGATGCCACAGGCTTCGAGGGGTTCCCTTTCCTCCCCCAGCAACGCCAGCAGCCATCCTGCTGTGAACAGAAAACAAGCTGTGCTTGAGGCTGGGCCTCAGGATGCCCAACTAAGAGACCATATAAGCAGGATCCAGCTAGTAACTTGCTGAACTGAGACCAAAAATCCATTGAAAAGACCCTCTGCCAAGTATTCCAGCCTCATCTGCACTAGACATGATGGATTTTCACGGCTACGGGTTTCTTTCCAGCTTCGTGGGGAAGAAGTATTTGTCTCCTTCACTGATGACACTACACTTCAGTTAACCTTGTGGTTTGTTGTTTGTTTGTTTTGAAATTGTATTTTATGTATCAGCTCACATTTAAAAAGCACTTTCTGATAGAAAAGTCAAGCATGTAAGTTAAGAACATCAGTTACAGACAGCACTGAGCCTAAGCTGATTCACTCTGCATTTGCATTACAATGCCAGCTAACAGTATGATGTTCTCCCAAAGGACACCGACTTTTTTTTCCCCAAGCACATAGGTCAGTTACTGCTTTCTCAAGATGGGGTCTCCTACACACCATTCACGACATATATCCAATGCAGTATTTTCTTCATCAAGTTCAAACTCTGCTCTAAAGAAGGAATTTATTTCTTCAGCAGTTCTTTTATCATATTAATTGTTATCATAACACATAGCACATAAAATTCTGATTAATTTTGGGTCCCCTATTTGAAACTACCAGAATCTGATTTTTCAAAATACTTAGCATCATGCAGCATCTTCGGAATTCACCTGCAGCCAGAAGAGCAAAGCCCTCAAGCAAATCACACCTCCGATCTCTCCCATGGGGCACCAGAATGAAAGACCCAATTAATGACCATCTAGGAAAAACCATTTGCTTAACGTCACATAGCAACTCTGTTACAGAGGCAGGACCAGAATTCAATTATCCAGCAGAAGCACCCAACTGCTTTAATCACACCACCACCCATTTTCTTCTGACAATCCCTCTGGCTCACTGGCTTCATCCACTCCAAATTAAGCCTCCATTCAAAAGACAACAGTTCCCTTTGTTATAAAATTAACTTCTCTCTCAGAGATCCAACCCACCTTCTGAACTGAGGCAGGGGTTCCTTAGAGATAAATATACCTGGTTAACTAATATAAGGTTATATTAGTTATAGATCTGGCTTATTAGTTTTATATATATGGCTAACCAAAATAAGGTTAACCAATATCATCAATCACATTCGGGGAGAGGCTAAATTAAGGCTACATGGGGAATATCAATTCTGGCATATTCCAGCTTATGACCTTCATGTTTCCAACATTATTGTCCTTTTATCAGTTGTGTGTACTTTATCTAGGTTTCTACCTACAGCAAAAAAGCGATCCTCCCATGTGGCAACCCATGCAAGTTTTCCTGTATTTGCTGCAAGCCTCTGCCTTTTGCGCAAATGAAATGGTTAACACTAAGGGGGAACGAGTAACTCCTGTTTGGGATACCCAGCAGGTTGCATGAATCGGACACAATTCCTCCTCCATAATGTCTGTATGGCGAGTGCTCAGATCACAGCGTAAAACAGTTTCTCAGCTTTGACCAGTTCTGTTGGGATGGTGCCTCGTAGCATAGGCTCAAGGAAGCAACGAGAGGCTCAAATTCTTTGAGGATGGGGCCGTCACTAGCTGAAGTTGGGAAGGCTGAATGCTGTTTTTGTAAAGGCTCCTTGGCTCCAAAGCCTCTGCTCCTGCAGTACTCAGACTCTGAGGCTTTAGAAAGAATCACAGCAGGACACGAAGAAGAGAAGCATGCTTTTCTTAGCTCCTTCCTAGAACTATTTTTCTCATTTGGGCTTCAATTTTCCCAGAAATATCAGTCTAATGCAGACTCAAACAATATTTTTGGGCCCCGCTGGCTTTATCTGGCAAATTTATTAAAGACAAGTCTTAAGAATGGAAAGTATAAAGCAGCCTTGAACAGGGGCCTCCAACCTCAGTCTACAAGCTAGTCCGGCCTCAAATTGGCCTCCAGGTCCTTGCTCTTTCTCCTACCATGCTCCAAGAAAAACATACAGCAAGTTTTACTTGCACTTTGTATCTGTTTTACAGCAATCATGGCATTGAGCTTCACCAGTAGCCGAGTCTCAATCTCAGTGTATAAAATTTACTTGGGCAGCACTAGCCATTTTTTGTATTGTCTTGATTTCTTCTATAGCCCACTAAGCAGCTGCAAAGTTTGGGATATGATTACTCCAGTGTTCAAAGAACACCACCTTTAGCCTCGTAATGTGATCTACCGATGGTTTTGTGCTTTAATAGCACCTGTTTTCTCCTTGATGTAAATACAAAACTTGGAATTCATTTTGATTTTCTATTTTGACCATCCTTTTATCTTCAAAAGCCTCTACTTCCAAGCTACCACCAAATGCACATCTGTGTGTATATATGACATAGAACACCCATGTCACCAGAAATTTTTACACTAACAAATGCCAGTCTTTTACACAACTTTAATCTCTCCGTGAACTAGAATACACGGACAAACTTCCATGTGCTCTGGGAATCTACCTTCCTCTACATACAGTGTCAGAACTATTAATCCACAGCCAGTAAAAAAAGATTCACCGATCTGAAAACACTGAACTAACTGAAGAGGTTTAAGCGATTTCAAGCAGAATCACAGTTAAAGGGAACTGGATCTGCATCTGTGGGCAACAGCAGAGAGAGCTGGCATATAGCCTGTGGCTACTAAAACAAGCACCCGTGCGATAGTTGTTACTTGCAGGCATCTACTTCGCTTTAGAATGATAAAAAAGAAAATAAAACTATAATCCTATTAACATCCCTAAAATTCACAACAAAGGAACGAAAATCTGGGGGTATGTTCCTACTGTCAATCATTCATGCTACTTTGAACAAAATTGGTTACTAACGACAAAGTTTCAAGAACAGTCTGTTTATTTTCTTTGGCATCCAACTCAAAACAGCTGAAGAGACTTGCCTAACAAAGTCAGAAGAAATTACTTCTTGTAATTACTTTCTTGTAATTCTTTGTAATAACAAAGCAAGTAAGCCTTACCTCAAAGTGAAATTCTGCTTGTAGTATTATGTAACACTACCCATATCTCAATCCATAAAACATGAAACCGTATAGACTAGTCTAAGAGAACCATAGCACAAAGTTGGTGATAAACCTATTCAGCTTGGTCCTTCCCAAATTTAACAGTTGCCCGGGAGAGAGGGAAAAGAACAGGGAGAAAACCAACTCCCTTAAGATTTGCCGCACTAAGAAGCCTTACAACGTTCAATGGCTGTAGCCGGCACAGAGCAAACCAGACATACAGCCTTTGATATTAATCAAGACGATCTCAACTACAAATAAAGACAGAGTATGTAGGTGTCTGGGCTGAGATACACAATCAAACGGGTGGTTGAAATTTGATATGGAATCCAAAAAGCCTGCGTCAGTCCTTTGGAAAGCACAAGAGCTATTTGAAGATGTAATGCCAGAGCAAAAAGCCAACTCAATGTGATAACCAGAAGGTAAACTGACGTCAACTGGAAAGACACCCAGTCAGTACCAGTGCAGTACCAGGCTCTGTGCCATATACCTGGCAGATCTGTTCCAGTGTAAAACGCTCTGGGAGTTAAAGCTTTTTGACCAACACAATTTGAGAAAAAAAACAAAACCAAAAAAGAACAAAAAAACCCCAACCCACAAACAAAAAAGCCTCCCAAAAATTGTTAAATTATTTTAGGAGACCACTGGAACTGAAGCTTTAATTCTGCTGAGCACTATGCGTTGATCCGACAGACCAGCACGACAGACAGAAGCTACCGAATTTTGTTTGGATCAGGCATCAGGCCTGCAGAGAAAGGATTCACAACATATTCACTCAGTTGGACCGAGCCTACCTAAGCTCATACACTAGATCATTAAACTTGCAGGACATTAGTATGCTCTGTGAAAAGGGCTATTTTTTCTTTCAAATGTTTTATTCTATTTCTACCTTGTATGATAAAGCTACTACTTTTCCCTAAAATCTCAGAGGAGTCCATGCAGTCAGGGAAATTCTTCATTCTTACAAGGCGGACAATTTAAATACTACACACTGAACTGGGAATATCAAATGTAGAATATTAAATGATTTCCGATGCCAGATGTGCAGAATGTGCAGCCTTTATGGCAGTTCCTTTGGTCTGCTGATGACAGGAGGCAGTGAGAATAAAAGGAGGGGAGCTTGCTGATCACACCACAAGTGTTTTCTGTTCAAGCAATAAAAAGGCACAGCCAGCCATGAGGTGCAAGATCTCTTTAGGAATAACTGGCCAAAGAGAGACACAGCCTTCACCGGCATGATGGGGCTTACCAGTACAGAGGTATGACATGGAGAAAAAGGGAGATCAGAAAACACAGGACACAGTCTTATTGTGGGTGGGAGGGAGAAGGGGAGAAGAGAGCATCAGAATGGTTGTTGTATGCTATAGGTTATTACAGGTTCAGTTAGGGAGAGGAAAGTGCTACCACACTGGTAAGACAGAGCATAATTGGCCTGAGCCCCCTTGAAGCATGCTGCATAGGAGAAATCTCCTTTTCCAGCTGAAGAAAAGCAGGATTATCTGTTATTTGTCTTTCCTATGCTAGAAATGGCTAGAAAAGATGTGAAAGTACTTGATACAGGACAATTCCAGTGACAAACCATCTAACAGAGAACTTAACAGGCACAGCACTTAAATGTTTTATTGGACCAGATGTTTATAAAAGGCTACCCAGAATTTATGACAAATGTGATCAGTTCCAAGATCCTTATATTAGTAAATATCTTTTCGTAATGTTGCTAACCCTACAATTCTATACTGTGCATATGCAAGAAGGATATTCCCCCCCAAGAGCTTTTAGTGCCTGTATAATGATCTTTTCTTTATCTAAAGTAACAAGTTAAAACGAAGAGATTAAGTGATTTAATCCAGAGACTCAGCATGGAATAACAGCGCCCATTCTCCTATCACAGTTTCATAAAAGGAACTGTCGAACCACTTCCAAAGTCATTAACGCAAGAAGAGAGTAAGAACCATGGTCTCCTCTTCCTCATCTACCCGTCAGGAGCTGAACGCTTGTGCATCCAGCTGACTGCCCCAAGTTCCATGTGGAAATTAATGGCAGAGTCAAATCAACCACCTTATCTGACACTTTTCACTATTTCTTTAATCCTTTTGTAAAGTGACACGTACTGCAGTAATGGAATCAAAACAGGAGCAAATTCCTGGAACAAATAAAAGAACATGCCTACTGGATAATATTCAAAAGGCAGAGGAAATAAGAGTTTAAGGTTAGTGAGCAACGGATATATACAATTTACTTCTAGAAATACTTATCATCTAGAGAAAAACCTCTTTCCTTCCCCGAGAGCAATTTAATATTGACAAGCCAAAAGACAGCGTGAATAAGAGTTTCTATTCACTTTCTACCACACAACCAGCTACAGACTCGTGACATTTCAGAGAGTTTACATTTCAATTAAAGCTCCCAAAATACACACCAGTACGTTGGAATTAAAACAAAGGCCTAGTCTTCACTATTATGAGTACAAAAGCTATTTTATCTGGATCCGTAGCTGTAAAATGACTGTTTCTAAAGCAGTATGATCTTTAGTGCGGAGAAATGTATGATATAGCAAAGTGTCATGCACCTGTAGAGCTTTTTCAAAATGAAAAAACCCAAGGTTTAAGAGGCTTAAAGCTTCGATGTGAGAACACAGTTTACATTTCTTTTCAAGAGAAAGGTCGTTCATCACTACCTCTTTTGTCTCCTCAGGGTCTGAGTGATCCACAGTTACATACAAATCATTCTGCAGGTACTTCAGTGCACTAAGAGGGTCAGTCTGAGCTTTCTCTTCAAACCTGCAAAGAGACAGAAAACATAAGCACAACCATTTCCTTCAGGACTAAGTACTACTGTTTCTACAAAGAGCAAAACCTATCAAACGAAACTTTCAGCCAAATATTTCCAAACAAAACCATGTTAATGGCAGCTCGGCCACATATTTGCTGGAGTACGTGCTTTCAAGCCAGACAAACACAGAGGAGGGTTTTTGGGGGTATACCGGAGTTACAAGGGCAAAGTATTACGCTCTTACTAAAAATGGTCAAAAGCATATGTACAGCAACTTCTTAATACATAAATATAACACATTTAGTACAGTTTGTTTTCCACAAATGAAGTAAGGTATGAGTAGCACCTCATGTGAGGAGCGCAGTTCAGATACAGGCAAGCCTTGAGCCTCCGGTCCCAGGGATATGTAATATCCAGTCAGGAATGTAATTGAGTCAGGAAAGTAATTCCTGACTGCACAGAAGCGTAACTGGAAGTACAGGGATGGAGAACGCTCCCTGCTTCTCCCAGACAACAGAAAAAGGGACAATGGGGGTGAAAACCCCTGGATTCAATGAATACTGTGCCTTAATATCCTACCTTTGGAAAAAGCACATGTACGTAAAAGTCCTGTACACCACCACCATTATTTTCTCATTTTCTTTTAACGAACAGAAACTGTAACTTCTGTGAATTCCCTGAAGTTAATACAGCCCTCAGAAAATGATTCTGGACTCAGCATCCTCAGTGAGCAGAGCTACTTCCCTGCAGCACTGAGTTGGGTGCGTAGCCTAGAAAGGATGAAGTTTAAAATTATCTATTTTTTTTCCTCATCACCTATCTGCCAAGTGCAGTATCGCACTGTCATCTTCTGAATCACCAATACACAGTATTAAGCCTCTCCAGGAAAACAGCTGTGACAATTCTGGATTCCAGAGATGAGGACCCTAAAAACCATGTTCTTAGTTACTTAACTGCCTCATATCAACTGCCTTACAGGAATGCAAGATGTTTTATTCACAATATATTTCAGTTACCTTTAACAGGGTATAGCTCGTCAAACTGAAAGAAGTCACACTGAATAGATTTAATCATATTATTTTCTATTTGGGTCACCTACTTGGCTATTTATGCTGTAGTGGACAGCCGTAGCCCAAATTTTGAAATTGTCTAAAGATGCAAGTCGTTGAGCCAGTATGCAGAGCACAAAGACTATGTCTGTTACCTGACGTACACAATATTTTGGTAATTAAATGTGATTTCTTCCAAACGTTCACATAGATTTTCTTAGATGAAATTGCCATGGTCCGGAGAGCTGAAATACCTTAAATAAGTGGCACCTTGTTCCTCTATGCTCGGCCAGCTTGGTTCTGCTATGGCTGACCAGTACTAAAGACCTTTATTCGTTCTTGTAGGGATTCACATCTATTGCGTGGCTAATCTGCAAAAGGCCTCATCCAGCCACAGCAATTGTGAGTCAGTAAAAAATGACCTCCAACTCTTGGCAGAACCTGATAACAAAGTGTTCTCACCAAGAATGCAGAAAGAGTTATTTATTGGCTTCAAATAATTTGCTGGGTCTTGAAAGGCTATCTCGCTGCTGCAATTTCCTGCCTAAGGCAACACCATAAGCTCGATTTTGAAAAGCTGTTGCCCTAAATAGCAAATATAAGGCAGCTCAAACACCCAGAGTGCAAGAAACATCCCAGTGTAGCTGAATTCTGCGTAAGTGAGGTCTTTCAAGTGAATCTGAATGAAAACTCCAATGACCTCACCACGGTTGAGTCTCAGATGTGGAAAGGAATCCAGCCCCCAGACTTCATTAGCATCATCCTTGCGAGCTGTTACTATCTCCTAGCACAGTGTTTCAGAAACATACTCCATTTCCTTGGGAGGTGACAGTACCAAAACACATGCTGATGAGCAGCAGAGTGAAAAGGGAATCTAAAAATTCCCCAGGACTCCCCACACAATAGCCAGATTTTTTCTAGTTTTAGAAAAACATAGTAAAACCAGAATGAAGTTTTTTGTAGTTTAGCCCTGCTCCACTGCTTTTTAAATTTTTTAAAAATTAAAAATAATCAAGAAACCTGCAGACCATCATATAACCAACAAAGTGGCATTTCCCAAAACAGTTTAAAAGATATTCAAGTTTTAGCAACTTAAAAAAAAAAAAAGACACTTTGTAAAAGAAAATTGCAAAACATCTTTTGTTTCTATACCTGTGCTTTCTTATGAGGTATTTGCAGTGTCTTAGCAGGTATTCCTTTGAAGGTCGACAGAGCTTCAGAGACCAGAAATCGTCTAATCTCATCTTTGGAGAGCAGGACTTACCAGGATTCCCTCCGAATAAGTAATGAACCTAAGCAAATGAGAAGCAGATCAAAAAGTTGATTGTTTGTGTACATCCGTTAAACAAAGACTATTTACTATGTCAGCATCTTTGGAGAGGTTTATTCTGGAGGGAGAAAACACTGCCTTTTAGACAAGCAGCTCCATCTTATTATTAGCCTTACTTTGTCCCCTAGGAGATGAAGAAAGTTCTCTTAAACTGCTTACATTTTAAGATAATAAAAAAAGCTGCACTGTTAGAACCTCCCTCTAGCAGATTCCTGAGATATTTCTAAACAAACATTCACAAGCCATGCAATCCCTTTCTTCAGGAAAGGCCTATGAGCATGATAAATCCTTAAGTATGTAAGATACGAGCAGAAAAGAAGGATCTGAGCCAACTCTTATTGCCCTGGTTAAAATACTTGCTGCAAACAATACTCAAACTAATAGATTACCAATCTCTTCTCCAATCTTGTCCTCAAAGACTCCAAATTCTCGTTGTCACAAGAGAGGCTAAATTAAGGCACCTGTATTAAGCCCTTCTCTAATTTGGGGATGAGCAGATTATACCCATGTAATTGTGAGATGAGTCCAGCAATCACACATTTTCTTTGAAGAAGAAACATTTATGCTTGTAAGGAAGACTCAGAAAAAAGGGACTTTGTAGACTAATGCTCTGGCTCCAGTCAGAGCACTGTTGGTAAAGCTGCACTACTAAAGCACCACAGTTCAGACGAGCAGCCTTTTCCTTGAGTCAGCGAAGACCGTTATCTTCCCCAAAGACAAGGGCCACTGGCAAAGTCTTAAAGATGCTCAAAGTGACAACAAGCCCAGCCCAGCATAATCTTGGGAGATGACCAACAGGCCTGTGTGCCCAACATGTCCCATAAACTCTACAGAGCCTTAATTTGACTTGCGGAGAAAAATATTTCCATGGCCTCTGGAAGGGCAGATTTGTCTCACCTCAATACAGCAGCCTAGCTGTGAGACACTCAATACACTACCTGGGGCACAAAGGAAAGAGCTAACTGAATAAAGAGTAAAACAAAAAACAAAAACTGTAATCCTAAGAAGAACTGAGGAAGAAAACACCAATCTTATTTAGAATCAGAAGTCACAACCATTACTGTTGATTGTCTTAAAAAAAAGTTCTAGCAATCCTGAGATGCCAGTCATGGAAATACTAAGTATACCTGTATGCAAAATTCTTTTTTTTGTTCAAGGTAGCTCAAATGAAGTAGTTTTTAACAGCCGTGCTGATAATTTGAGGATAAAACACCTTTGAAACGCAAGGCTAGACTTACAGAGAGAGGCAAATCTCAAGAACAGTAGAAGCGTTACAAAAGGACTGTTTATTTCTTCACTTTTTTTCTTCTTCACATCGCTTGGCATTTCAGACTCTGAACTGTTGATATTAAACATGTCACAAAGCATCTTCAAATACTGAGGTTCAAGAAGTCCAACAGGCTACCTTTCTCCACAGCTTTAAAAATAATCACTCAAAACAATGTATTCTGCATCCCACTGATGTAGGCTCTCCTTATTTATATCAGAGGAGTTTAGAAAGGTCATTTGAACAGAGGTTTCTAAAAATAAGACTCTTCAAAACAAGTACATCAAACAGCTCTTCAGATAAAGCTGGGCAACTGCCATGATTCAGCAACCTTCACAGTAACTTATAAAATACTGCTCTCAATCTCATGGTACCTTATACTTAGAAGTAAGCCATTAAAGGCAGAACAGTATTTACTGTCCAACATCAATGTCCATGATGAAGACAAACCATACAAGTTCCCCATACAGAAGTTACACCTATTCCTCCTTAAAAACCCCCTTACCCCCAAACTTTTGGGCTAGTTGGGTTTCTCAAATTTGATTAACATCCCATGGAATGGTAAGACTAAAGTATATTTGTCTTTTTCAGTTAAAATAGTTTAAGACTAAAAAAATATTTAGAGAAAGTTTATTTTAATCGCAAAATATCCGTGAAAGATTAATTAAGTGTGTCACAGTAATTTAAATTCATAGGTTAATGAAGTTATGGTAACCTAATCCGTGGGTTTGTGCTTTATTGGTTAATATGCACAAAGCCCTAAGTTTACTGAGCAGTAATGTACGCTACAAATGATTTTAGGTATATTTAAGCATGAACATGTCCATTAAAGTCAGACAGTGCTAAAGAATGACAGTTGCTTCTGACATGCAGGGCAAAGTAAGGCACTTCTGTTAGAGCAGATTCTTAACAGCGATTAGTTCATTCAAACACACTTTTTCCTAGAAATTCTGGTAAGTATCTGTGACCATTTAGTCACTAACAGGTTGTGAGATTAAGCCCCTGAAGATAATGAACGAAGCTTCAAGTGTTCTCAAGTACAAGAACAGCGAGGAGCTAGCCACTTGACAACTTTGTAGAGGTTTAGTATATTCCATTGTCTGCATTTTGATTTCACCTAGGAGCTATCATGTCTACTTCACATTGACATAAGAAGTAGCTTAGCACCTTATTTCAAAAGATGATAATAAGTTAAATGAAAGTTACCCACCACATTAACCCAATCGTTAACACTATACAGAAAGCTATATTCATTGTACCATCTTTGAAGAAGTAACTACACCGGAAGAGCACCAAGACTAAAAAAAATTCACTGTATATGTATCTGGACCCTCATACCTTGTGCAACTCATCGTACACCAGTTGATGAGCAAACCTTGGGCAGGGTTCCTCTTCCTGAAGGCTTTTACCTGGATTCTCTTTTGCTGCTTGGTCATTTTTATAGACACAAGACCTGAAATACAAGGCAGTAAGTAATGATTAGTACCACCTACAGGAAGTAGAAAGAACTAGTGAAAGGCTATAAGGTACAAATGATGTCAGTTTGAACTGCTTGGCATATAACACCAAAGATTTTCTTACTTCTCTATATATTGTCCTCTATTACCCCATCCCCATTAGCTCTACAAAGAAACACATCCAACAATCAGAGAAGGCCATCTTGGCTGAACATAGTCCTCAATCACAAGCCAAACAGGAAAAAAATCTAGAAAAATTTGTATCATGAGCTTTGGAGGTATCTTTAGATGTTGCATTATTTGTTAGCAGAACTGTCAGCATGAAGTATTTTTCATTATGGAGTATACCGTCTTGGACACAGTAGAGCTATAGGCCAGAAACTTCAGCAAAGCTAGCATTTCAATCACTGATTTCCAAGCAGACTTGTTTTTTCCAGCTGAAACACCGTTTTTAAAAAACAGCATTCACACCCTTCAAAGTGATTGGCCCCACATCAGAAAAGACCTTGAACACAAAAACGCTGCCAGCTCTGGAAAGGGGCAGTGGCAACCAACTACCAAATACCAAACAGCAAATAGACAAGGGGATATCTTCTCAGAATACTGGCTCTGGCAGCTACCTGAAATACCACTGCATGCAGCCTGGAAAGAGCTGATAGATCTAGCACGAAGACTTCTCCATCACCGTTCATACAGCAAACCAGTTTCCTGAGTTTCTAATAGCTAGTACCACGTACGCTGTTATTAACCACTCACGTTTGACTGAATTTGCTGCACTGATGCTGAACCCTGGCCTTGAACATTTCCTACAGGAAAAACTTCTTATAATGGCTTACTTCCCCTCAACCCCTCCACCTCCCTCCAAAAAAGAAGTTCACATGATTTCTCTCCCCCATTTGGCTTATTGCCATGGTGTCTCTAAAGACTATGGGAAAAAGAGGTGCCTCAAGGGAACTCAGTTGTCTTCAACATTACCATTCCATGGTTGTAAGAGGTTAGAGAGTTACCTGGGAGACAGGATCACATAGGATTGCTTTCTGAAGAAAGTCAGTGTAGATGTTAGAAATAGCACCCCTTTCATCAACTTACCAGCTGTTCCTCACAATGTCATAAATCCAGAAGGAATTCCTTACATTCTCTTCCCGCTTCTCCTTGTCTTTACTGAGCCCTGACAAGACATGGATTTCGTTCAGTTCTGGATCAATGGTAGCCCTTTGAGTGAAACCTGTCATTGGAACTGACAAAAAAAAAAGTTACACACTGAAAACAGAGGATACAGGAAGGGATCCAAGCATCGCACAAATGCATTTCCCTCCCCCTGCAACTCAGCAGATTTTCTAATATCCATGGTACAAGCACGAGATTTCACATAACTACCTCTTCAGTATTCTGGGATAAAGAGCGTCTTAAGTTTAACACCAGTACCTAGTTTGCCCATTTTCTTCCTTTTAATTACTTTCACCTCTTCATCTTTCATATAAAACCAAAACTTGAGACTGAGTGATCCCAAGCTGGTATTTTCTAAGACCTCTCCTCCACAGCGACCTCATTCACCACAACTTAAAACTGAAATGGCACATCTCAAAATAGGAGGTGTGCAGAAGTCACCAAGCAAAATTTGCTTCTTGCACATGCCCTCCAAAGCAGGGTGAGAGGGAGGAGGAGGAGAAACATCACCCAGAGGCCGACTCCTTCCCTGCTAAGGACAAGTCCAATGCAAATTCTCTTCTTCCCTTCCTATTTGTGACTCCTGGAAAGCACAAAAACCATTCTGAGAGCCGCTGTTTCATAGCGAAAGGCATAGGCAGGGCTATTTGGGAGACTACCAGCTCAGAAACGAGGATTAAACCGCCTCAAGATAGAGCTAGATGATCCTCGTAGACATGAATGGAGTGACTGTTATTATCTCATCCGTAAAAGGAAGCACTGATTCCAGAAAGCTTAACTGCAAAAGCTGGGAAACTCAAAAAAATTCAAGATGAACTCAAGATTACGTAGCTCACAACCTCGCATTGCTTCCTTTAGGACAAAGATGTCAGGGAAGTTTTTTCTATCTTCTAAATAATTGTGGTATAATTACCAAGCTATTCTTCTGTTCCACCTTCAGATTTAGAAATATGGTGAAATACTGAGGATTCCAGCAGTTTTCATCATAATTCCCCGAAAAAAGGTCAGCAAATTTGTTTGGCAGTCCTTTTTGTTTGTTGTATAATTCCCCATTTCCTGTTTCCCTAGGCAACCATCCTTCCAAAATGTATTTGTGAAGAGCACGTGACCTTTGTTTACAGATCCTGTTTGTCTCATTTCTCTTTCTGGGTCAGTTTACAAAGGCTGGTAAAGGTTTCTGGCCTTCGATCAAGATTTTGGCATGAAAAATTCTCAGAACTCTTGTATTTTGCAAAGTCTTCCCTGCAATTAACTGTGAACTGCAAATATGGCCTAGAAAACAAGCCCTTCGCTAATAAACCATTTAATATCGCTGTTTAAGAACACACAAAACAGTATTTTGCAAGCCCATTCTGTAATAGGTTTTGGTCTTGTACTTCAGTCTTCCCATTTGGTAGGCCAGGAAAGCAGTAAGTATCAATTAGAAAATTCTGAGGAGCATTTAGTTTTCTACAGTTTAAGCCCCTACCGAAATGTTTAGCAAAGCCAAAAACCCCAAACATTTCTTAACAAAAAAAAAAAAGCTCAATTCTTACATAAAGTAGAAACTTAAATATATTCAGATAATTCATTCTCAGAGTCCTGTCGACAAAATCCTTGCTTATGGTTTTACAGGAAAGCAGGAGGCAGAGCCTTTGGAGCCCTCCTCAGCATAAGCCTGCCTATTTTGACCTCCAATCTTGCCACAAAGTTTCAAATGAAAATTAATCCAGTTTATAAGCAAATGGGTGGCAGAGCAGAGGAAAAAAAGCAGGGAACAATGCTGGCACAACAACAACTACATACCTTGTCTTAGCTGCAAACCACAAGGAAGTTTTTACATAAGACTAATGAGTACTGTGAAAGTCACCCAATAAGGAAACTGAGAACAAAAAGACAATTACAGATCAAATATCATTAATTTTTGAAAAGTATCATGTAATGTGTTTGCTTGCATAGTCAGGGACTGAATCATTGACCCAAAAGGATTAAATTCAAGGCATATTTGAGACTTTTCTGGCAGGAGAGCCATCTAAATTTGATCAGCAATGCTAATGTACATGGAAAATGTCTTTGCAACCCTATCTGCTGCTTTGAACATTCGAGACCATGCCGGGTTTTTAGAAAAAAAAGCATGCAAATCTTCAGAGCATTAATACCTCAGGCTTACTGAAATGAAAATTATTATAATCATGAGGAATATGGTTGTTATATTACCATTGATACAGAAAGCATATGAAACTTGTCTATGGAAGTCCCATCCCTCCCTCCTGAAATGTTGCTAAATAAATGAATTTTTTATCTAGTTTATGCTCAATTTCCTGAAGCTGAAATTATTATTTAAATAATGAAGGAGGGAAAAGCCGCCAAAGTTCAGTGCCTCTGTTTTTTACTCTTGATAGTAAGAATAGGATTTATCCGCAGCAACTGCAATCAAAACCAAATTCAAGTCTAATTTCAGGCTTCCCTCAGCTGTACATCAATCTCTTACTGAGACTGTTTGAAATGCAGAATGCCTAGAAAAATATCATCTCAAAAAATATATATCCCTACATTTAATAGGGGCCTAAGACGAGGAGCAACTTACCTAACCTCTTTGACCTATCTAAGCAACTCTGTAGAAACCATATTTAAGTAGCGCCTTAGGCTAGACAAAGTTGATGTCTAGTCTTTTGCAGAGGAAGACCGAACTAGAAAGTTAGATATAATATGATTAAAAAACACAAGACAACACAGATTTGGTAAACAAATCCCTGAAAATAAAACAATGAGGAAACAAGGCAAACTACTACACAGTAAGGGGAGATGCTGCGGTATTTTAAACACAACAGAAACATCGAAAAGATGTTTACCGAAGAAGTCTGATCCTTGACAGAGCAAAAGGACTACGTAAAATCCTCATGACTGACAAACACTTCCACTAGGGGGTAAGAGAGCTTCATAATCTGCAAGTGCAGCGGACCTGCAGTAAATGCTGGATATAATTCAAATGATTGCAGTCAGCATATTAGAGAGGGACACGGGCTGTAAACTTGTGAAAAGTACTTGTGACATTTAGCTAACAAAATGTACATTGGGAAGGAAATTTAATTCTCTGTGGGAGACAAAATTGAACCTGTGACAGTAACTGATTGCTTAGGATATATTTTTTTTAATTTTAAGACTCAGAATAAAAAGTCATAAACAACAAGGAGTGAGAATCAGACACGGTAATGCCAGTGCTCTGCAAGAACTATTATTTGCGATGTACTAGATCCAAGGGGAACATAACATGGTAAGAATGGCTCCATGGAAGTTCCCTCGCTCTTCTACTTCTTTGCATAGATGTAGATGTAAATCAGCTTTGGAGCAAATCTCCACCGATTTCACGCTGCTCATGCTGTTCACAGTGCCTCCCAGGCCCGGTGATCACTCAGGTCAGCTGCAGGCAGACAGCTCGAAGGACATAAAGCAGCGACTGAGGACTTAACCCTGGTTGTTTGGAACACAGCACTGGCCTGTCGCTCTGTGATATTAACTTGGCTCCTATGACAATACATTACAGATTGAAGAGGAAAAGCTGTACAGAGAAATTACTAAACACAATACAATCCCAAAAAGTCTAGTAGATGGTGAGTGCTATTCTTGTGCCAGTGTGGTTTTTCCCCCCTAATCTCATTAACCAGTCCAGGGTAGAAGGGCAGTAACTAATTGAAAATAAAAGGTCTGAACCATCTCTCCAGAACATAACCTTTTCATTTATTTTTATATAGCAAAAATGAAATGCTCATGGCCTCAATATCTGAAAACAATATTCAGCCACACAGGCCTTGAGTTAGCAGCCAGTTACATAAACAAGTAGTAATTCCTGAGAAAGCTTCGATAAGATGCTGTGTAACCCTGTACAATATAATTTCCATTTAAATATAATGCATGGGAAAAGCTTTTCTACAAAAGTGACACCTAATCGTGAAACAGGTATGTTCCCACCACCACAGTCCCTACTTACAGGCATTTATTTGATCATAGTGATCATTTCAGCAAGCTGAATGTTTTTTGGCTTATACGTGCAAACAGCTACCGTTGTTTCAAGCACAGCGTTGGCTGCTGCCAGTATCTAAGCAAGAAAACAGAGCTTTTACACAGAGGCAGAGTTTGCAAAGCAGTAAATCAGGAGTTCACAGATGTGATTCTCATAGTACTAGACAAAGTTTGGAAATTAAATCTCATCTCTCTCATTTGGGGGGGGATACTATAGCATGTTTTTAAACATGCTTTGAAACACAGCATTGGCAAAACAACGATGAAACCTGTAGTCTGCAGACCACTTCTGAAGGATTTGTGAAGGATAATTACGGGAAGCAAGTTCATTGACAGCCTTTTAATGCCACCTAAATTACGAAACCCTCAGAACACGTTATGCTAATCCCGCTACAAGTGACTTGCAAGTATCCTCCCTCCTTGTGATGCCTCATGATTAAAAAAAATAGGAGAAAGCTACATCACATGGATATCGCTCTTCACCAGAACCTGGCACCTCCCTGATGGATTAATTTTTTAAAAAGTGGTAGGTCAGCAAGTTACTCCATACCACTACTTGCAATCCATATAAAACTGAAGCAGCACCTCCCCTGAACTTTAGTGGAGCAAACCTTGATGAATGACAGAGATAGCATGCAGGCCAGCTGTTGACACAGCAAGATAACGATTATCCTCTTGGATTTTTCATGATGAGACTGCATTTGGCAGTCAGCCAAGGAGCAACTAAGGAGACCATTTGAACAGTCTGGTTGTCATGTTGAAAAAGCAACAACGCTATGTCCAACACTCGGTTCTCTCCCAAGCAATGTGAGATTTTGGAAAAAACAGGTCAGTGTATTTGAATGGAATTCTGCTGCTATGACATCTCTGTAAAGCATCCTTAGGACTTGGTGACTGCCTGCTCTCCCCCTGACCTTCATATAGTAGGAGGAAAGTATTTTGAGATCGGTTCAGAGAAGCATCTCACAAGATGAAAAGCACATAAGGTCCCTCACAAAACAAAGCAATTCCATGGCAAGAGACATGCTGGCCACTGGCAAGGCAGGCCTTCAACTAAACAAGGGCAAAACGTGTCAGGTGTCACAAACAGACGATCAAAATGGGATATTGAGACTGCTTGTCTGAGTCGGATCCTGACCATGCTGGGCTAGCTGTGCTTTCTATTTTGATTACTGTTTTTCTGACATCGTCTTGTTTTAAATCAGGATTTCCTGGACTGGGCTGTCGCCTCTGTCCGTGGTACTTATCCATGAAACCTCCCGTCTGTCAGGTGCACGTTTCTGTATCTTGAGTGAGCACCTGCCCCAGGCAAGAGACCTGGGAACTTCACTGGTAGCTAAAGAAATACTCGCAGTCTGCCCTTAAGAACTACTTCACCATTAAAAGGAGCCACAGGAACGTTCTCATTTGACTTTGGAAGTTACTCGATGCCAAGGGATATAAGATGATCTTGATTCTCTTGCAGAAGGAAATTCTCCCTCTGACCAACATCTCTGACACGCCACCGGAGTCAGGGCCAAAAAGGATTATCATAGGAACCTTGACCACAAGTGTTCCCATTAGCTCCCTGAGACCTGAAATGACTGCCCGTGATTAGTCATGGATTGTGTGCTAAGCAAGTCAGGCAAGCTGTCAGTATAGCCTTTTGAAGACATCTGACACTGGTGGCATCTCTAGACCACGTGTATGCTTCAGAGATACACCCTGGCATATGCATGTTGGGTTGGGGGGGTTTGTTGTTTGTGTGTTGCTGTTTTTATAAAAGTAATTAAAAGTATACGACTGTTCTAAAAGGGTATGTCCATCAACATACACATTTCTGCCTCTCCCCCGACTACAGGCTCTATTCAACTGTACTACGCTTCCTCCAGTTTGTGCCACTACTGCCTTTCTTCATATCCGACTCATTATCACAGCTGCATTCTCTTTTCCTCAGTCCCATTTTGTCCATTCTCTAGCTGAACTAACAGATTTCTTTCTCCTGACAGTTTTCATGCAGCAGAAAGATAACCATCCCCGATGGCCTAATTTCACTGGACTGCCCTCCTTTGACAGCAAAGAGAAAGCACCAGGTTTTTTGATGCAATGAGCTGGAGAAAGCACCCACGCTCACTGGCAAATGGCATTTGCCAGACATGAAGAGCTGCAAGGCTTACCCATGTTCAAAGCGGATCGAGTCAGGAGACATTTTTAGCAGGCAACGCTGTGTGCAAACCCATCTTTTAGAAACGGTACCTTGACCAAATCTGAACTTTACCCAGGAATGAAAAAAGCACATCTAAACTTGCTACAATTATTGTCCTTTACTCCAAATTAAGAAAATTTAAGTGATACTTATCACCCAATATTCTCTCAAACACAACACCTATACAAGAAACTGGTTCCAGGATCAACATCAAAAGCACAACTAAGAGCAAAGAAACACTAAACAGCATAAATAGCTCATCCAGAAGATGAGAGCAGCAAACCAACATATCATTACCATAGTTTTCTAGTATTGCAACAACTCCATATTACTGATAATCCTTAACTATCCATTTTACTACTTTTTTTAAAATCTTCCCACTACTCTAACGGAAATTTTAAGCAAACGCACAATTAAGTTCTTTTAGAAAGGGTAAAAATCAAAATAGCTCAACTAAGAATAGAACTGAATGCCACATGCGAGCCAGGAACAAAATGTAATCATGGGACTTTATAGGCACATTTAGGTCAGGCATCGTCAACTTGACTCATCACACCGAGCAGCTTAAAACCTCACAGCGACTAGTCAGGGAATCACTTTGTTCATACAGATCAAAATGGTGTTTCGCTACCTAACAAGAGCACTATAAAGGCTTGCTTTTTTGGGTGAAAATAGTGCTGTCAGCATTTGCTGTCTGAATGTAACAAGCATTTTGTCCTCTTCCTGTTAAAATGCAAATAATCCTACCATCTTCTTTCAAAAGCAAGGGAAACGTTCAAATCTGTTTACTTTCTACACACAGGAGAACAGTAAACTGAAAATCTACTCGTGTATTATTTCCAATGAGTCACTTTCTTACAAAGTCTACTATTCACCACTTCAGGGCCTGTGGGAATGGGGAGGAGAGCTAAATATTAGTCTCGTTTGCTTAACTGAACTTTGCAGTTAATGTACTTGCTGAGAAGCAGAGCTCAGTGTCTTCTCCAGCCATAAGGCAAGCTCGGTATCTTTAAATCTGAAGTAGACACAGGTGTCAGCTTAAAGCCACATGCTTTAAAGCTTCTGGCTATAAAGAAATGTAGTTTTAAAAAAGCAAAATGGCAGAATGCTAGCAATTTCATGGAAAAAAAAAATCAATTCTTTAAAGGCTCTAAGGACAACAAATGGTGCGTAGGTGTGTGTAAAGCATCAGGCAACAATGCAGGCACCTTAATAAAGGAGATTGTCAACAATACAAACTGGTTCTTTCTTGGAAGCACTCAAGTAAATAAATGACTCCAGAGAATAAGAGCTTGGGAACTCTTCTCCCTCATTGGCATAACTAAACTAATGTGCAAACAATAACTCATAACCATCAATAATTCATTTCAAAAGTTCAGCAAAATTACTTGCTAAAAATTAAGCCTGATCAAAATAAGGAGGGCAGCCTAAATCCAATATAAATTAGCTTCCTGGGATTTTGGTTACCAGAAGAGGAGAAAACAAGATCGGGACTAAACATACACAATATGAGAAATATTCGTAACCTCTCTCCTATAGTAGTACACACTGCAACACAAATTTGCACTTCTGAGCTGTACACAGAAAATCAGGATATTTGCAACACAGGAAAGTGATGTGCTTATACATGCAGAAATCCTTTTTGGAAAAAAAGAACATTCTTCTCTGTCATTTGAGGAGAAGAGGTATAAAATCAGTTCTTTATGGTTGTGTTACAATGCCTTTTGGGTGTTTTTAATGGTTTCTGGTATACAGAACTATGCCTGGTGTATATAGCTCTAGTGGTATGAACTAAACAGGACTGAAGCCTTGCTCCCTCCTCCTACCTTTTTGTGCCACTCCCTGATAATTTAGTACAAGAATAACAGGACAACAGGTCTCATCTTTCCAGTTAGCCCCTGCCAGGCAGAATAACCTCTGTCCCTCTACTCCAATTCTCTGTCTCTGAGCATTCTACCTGTCTTTCTGCATCTCAAACGAAGCAGATTATTTCTATTTTATGGCATCTTTCACTTGGTGAAAACTAGAAAAAAAATTGCTTTCTCCTTTCCTGGTTTAAAGAAAATTATTTTTTCAGCCTTTTTTTTTTTGGTCTTTGCTGGAGTTTCAAAGGAGATATTTTTAGTTCTTATTTTGCTGATTTTTTTTTTCATTTGAGGTGCTATGTAGTTTCATGCATCAATTATTTGTATTGTGCGAGTGTCAAGTGACAGGAAGGACAGAAGAGCTGGCATAAGTTTAACCTATATACTGTGGAGTTTACTTGGGTACACAGGGCTAGTTAAGGATGCTAACCTGATACTACAGGACACCGAAGCTGGCCCTTCACCTACCTAACGATATACTTCTCATTTGTACCACTGGGAAGAAATTAGTATGTAGTTATACTCTTACCCATCCCTGAATCTTTCTTAGTGCCGTCTGATATGATATCCACATGATCGCTGTCTACATCATAACTGAAGAAGTCATTCAAATAAGTCTTCGATCTCTGGCCACCAAATACATATAAGCAGCGATTTTTCTAGAACGGAAAACACAAGTATGTCTTTATCAAGCTCAAGAAAGTTTGTTGGCCAGCTGTGACCACTAACAAAAACATGAATGAATCAAAGAGTAATATATATGTTTCTCCTAAGTTTAAACTCATGCCTTATCTATCAGGTCCACCAATCTCTATTTGGTAAATATCTTACCTCCATCTCCACAAAGATTCACAGGGAACAATTATGCAGAACAGTGTGTTATTCTCAAGCTCGATAAAAACTTGAGCATTCTTGATCGGATTCTTGATTTTCTTGATTCTTGAATTCATGATTTCTCAGTTTCAAGAGCTAAACCATTAAGGGCTCACAGCCTCTCCACCCCAAAAAGCCCCTCACAAATTGTCGTGGTTTAACCCCAGTTGGCTACTAAGCACCAGACAGCTGCTCGCTCACCCTCCCCACCCCCCCAGTGGGATGGGGGAGAG